ACTACGAATGTCTTAAGGAAACTTACACTCATATCCATTCTTTAATCAAAAGTTTATTTCATCTCTTAATCTTTTATACCAACAAAAACTTAATTAAACTTCACAATCGAACTTGCTCAAGAATTTCTTGGAACTCTCTGATTCAGTAGTCCAATCCATGTGGAAATGATCTCGATACTATACCACTCTATTACTTGTAGCGATCGTAGTATCGACGTGCATTTGCACCACTACTGTAGGAACTTTGTGGCCACTGTGTGAACGCATACAATTTTTAGCTACTAAAACTCCATACTCAAAACGTCACAAAAAACATGGATAAAACTCAATACCTTTATCTCAAGGTCATTGGGCTCGGTATATGGCTCTACCGAGTACCACTGCAAGACCCAAACTCCGTATATGACTCCAATGAGTAACACTGCATGCCCGAGGGTAACCAAGATTCTTACTCGTCCTTTAGATGAGTTCACCACATAAGTCACCAGTCTCCACTCTCCATATACGACTCCAACAAGCTCTACCGCAAGACCTAACCCCGTGTACGACTCAATAGAGTACCACCGCAGGCTACTAGCTTCATATACAACACAATGCATTACCAAATTGTTTTTTCCTAATAATACAACGTTTAATTAAAAATGTAGGATCTATATTCATTGCATATGCTATTTTTTAAGCAGTATCCATATTTGATGCAAACCCTTCATTCATATACTTTCAAAATACTTCACTACACCTTCACATTCCATGGTAGCATAATGCACATAGATTTGAATTGCAACCTTTTATTAACCATGTTTATTGCAAGTAAGACATCATACCAAATAATCATACCAAGTAAAAACTCAAAATTTTCAATTGCACTTACCAAACTTTCCGCTTCACTTTTCATTTTGGCATCATCACATGATTTGTATAAGTCAAGTAAGTCAATCTTATTTGAGGAGCTTGAAATCTCATTGTCTTGACACTTTTTATTCTACTTTCCCCACGTGTGTTGCACAATGATTTTACAGTTAAATTTGACACATTATCAAGTAATACCTTTTACCTTGTGTAGAACTAGCAAATAATGTATGTATGTGAACAATTCCAAAAAATAAAACAACTTTAACACAAAAATGAGCCATATTATTAAGAGTAAGGGCTTGTTTGTTTTTTTTTTAAAAAGCTCTTAATATCTCTTAAGTCTGAATCGTCAGACGTTTTTATTTTCAGACCGTTTGATTTTTTTTTGAAAATAAGAGCTGAAAAGCTCTTATTGTCCTCTGAATTTTTAAGTGGTAGTCTAAACTCTTAATGGGCTCTTATGCACACACCATATCGATCTCTCGTTCTCTCGCTTGATTTCCAGCTACCAAATCATACCGATCTATCCCACATCATACGATCTAGACACCATATCGATCTCTCGCTCGGTCTCAAGCTACCGATCTATCCAAAACGATCTCTACAAATCGATCTCTCCTATATATGAGTTATTTTCTGAGTATGATCAAACCAATGAGCAAAGGATGATGGCGACACAATTAATGCAATATGAATATTGGTTCTAATCGTTATGAGACTTTTTTGGTGTTTATATTGATTCGGATTTCAGACGTAAAAACAAACAGTCTGACTGATTCAGATTTCAGACTTCAGCACCACCTCTTATAAATCAGAAGTGAAATCAAACTTCAGACTTTAGCACCTCTTAAAAAACAAACACCACCTAAGATTAAGGTTATAACAAACAGATGACATATATAATGCTTTTGGATTAACTTCACACAATCGATTATGTACCCTTGGTGTTTTCCTTTCATGTTAGAACTATTATCATAACCTTGACCTCTCACATTATCAACACTAAGTCGAGAGATTTAAGTACATATAATAATTCATTAAACAACCCTAAACCAGATGTATCATCAACCTTTAAAAACTCTATAAAGTATTCTTCTATTTTTATTTTATCACCGGACATATTCACGCATGGTATGATAAAACTCATTTGCTCTTGATGGCTCACATCCGGTATACAGTCAAGAATTACAGAAAAATATTTAGCATCTCTAATAATTTTGATGATAGAACTTTTAACATTATGAGCCAAAAGAGAAATTAACTCATTTTGAATTCTAGGGCCGAGGTAATGATAATGAATTTCATGATTTTGAATGCGTATAATGTGATCTTGATTTATCACATTCAAATTCTCCAATCATTTCAAGTAACCCCAAAAAATTACCATTGCTATGTTGATACAACTTCTCATTTGATTCTCTAAAAGGCAAAGAATACTTGGCAATATATTTCATAACGGTAATTATTCTTACTAAAACTTACCTCCAACGTTCTTTCTCTTTTAAATCTCTTGTTGTAAGTCTTTATCAATTGTTTGGTTTGTGTTTAGCCTTACTCTTAGTTCATTCCAAGATAACATGTTATTCAAATGTTCAATACTGTTCTCGTGTTCTTTAAGTCTCTCACCAAGATGTTCCAATCTCTAAATCCTTCGTTAGCTATTGCATTTCTATAATTCGTAGACTTGAACAACTTACAACAAAAACAATACACTTTATCCTCATACTTTGAATAAACTAGCCATTTTCAATCACTAGTTTCACAATTATTCAACTTTCTATCAAAATAAGCATATGAAAAATGTCTAGACATGTTATCTAAAGGAAAAACCTAAAGGAAACACGATACCCATTCTCTAATAGGTCCTTTTTCAACTAGAATGTTTCTTAATTTAGTCAAGATTATCCCAATTTACAGGATCACAAATATCAAAAAACAGAATTGATTGTTCATCAACGAATAAGTTTTCAGTATTATTGGGGACCTCATGTTCACTCACACCATCAATTTTTTTCATTATCTTTATTCATAGTTGGATGTTCAACATCTTATTCATCTAACTCTTCATTAGAAGAACCTACGGTCTTAACAAACTTATCCATGACTCCATTTTGTAATTGTTTCAATTATTCAACTAACTTCCATTTTTTCCTTTTCTCACTTCCAGTTTTAGACAAGTACTTATACTTTTTAGGCAACATGATCAATATTTAACAGTAACAACAATTCAATAAACTCAATATAAAAATGAACAGAGGCACTTGAGTAGCTGAATCCTAAGTTTGGGTTATGGAATACCAAAAGAATTGAAGTAAACTCCTTTTTTCAATAAATTGTAATATGTCATTTAACAAAATTGAAGCACAATTAGTAAGCAAATAAGCCGATCATGTATTATATGTATAGAAATTACAGATTTACAGGGCATAGTCCTCAAATATTACCTAATGTTAGCAAACAATTACAGTTTTAAGTATATACATGTAACTCAAGAATGATACTTCATTTTCAATTGAGTATGACCTCTTTAGTAAAAAACGACAATTTCCTCCAAAAAGAACTTGCTTCTTTCCGTCACGACCATGCTTGTCTTATTCTTCTATCTTTATTCTTTGCTTAAATATTTCAGAAAATTGATTTATTTTATTGACTTTACGGAATACAGCGATGTCATACACATTGCAATTTGCAAATCTACAACTGGATCCAGAAGAAGCTAGAAACCGACGATGATCAATAGCTGTAAGAACTTATATTGTTATTTTAAGTTGTCTTTATGAGGCTTGTCACCAGTTCCCCATACTCCACCAAACAAGGTTTAAAATTTTATTTCTTAATGGCTTTTATTAGTTGGTTTAGTTCGGTTCTCTTTGTAGCGATTAGCAGACCTCTCTAGTCTCTATTATGCTGAATACTAACTGTTTTATTTTTACTTTCTATTGTAAACTTGAGTTAAATACACAGACTTATTGAAACTTGAATGAAACTATTTTAAGGAAAGATGCAATGTTCTGGACAAGTAGTTAAGAAGAATATCATTCATTATGTATAAAAATTACAGATTTACAGGACGTAGTCCTCAAACATTACCTAAATACCTAATGTTAGCAAGGAATTATAGTTTAGGAAATAAATTGATACCTTTTTCTTGCTGCCCTAAACCCACTGAACGAATGTGATGAACAATTGAAATGACTTTTGAAGCTTGAACTCAAAATAGAAATGAGAAAAAATGCATGTGTTGGTGACAGGATAAAGTTAGAACTCAAAATCATGACACGCATAAGCTAGAATTGAGAAACATGAACAGAAAGCTTGAATCTAACTTGAACCGAAACTTTGAAATTAACCTTGAGAAGTCGACGCATCAGATTCTTCATCTTAGAATCACTGATTTACCGTTGAGCCATTAAAGTCTAAGGTCTTGACGAATGAAACGTTGCTTGCCTGTTTAGAAAATTGGAACCGTGTGTGGAATCAAAGTCGAACACTCTGAATCGTCGCTTGCCTGTTTCGCAATAGCCGCGGATTGGATTAGATGAGGATTCTACCATGTTTTTTTTATAATACGAAAAGAATCTAAACATAGTTAAGGTTTTTTTTAATCTAAAATATTTTTTAAACTAATCATATAAACTAAATTACTCTTTCGGGTCCTTAAACTTTTTGGGTCCTGTGCAGGTATCCAGACCGCCGTCTCGGGACGACCCTATGCACGTAAACTTTTTATTTTAACTTTTTATTTTCCAGATATTTTATGCGTAAAATTTTCTGTATAAAATCTTTTTTTTTTCATAAACTTCTTATTTTAACTTATTTTTCTTTTCTTTTTACTTAAAAATAAACTATTTTCTGCATAATTTTTGTTAGAAAATAGGTTCTTAAGACGGCTAAAAAGCCAAAGTGATTTGTAATATAGATATTTGCATAAAAATTCCCCATTTTTTATTTGTTAAAGTAACTTCCCTAGGGTCGACATACGTGTCAATCATCCAGCCACTTTGGTTTCATGACATCCACCCTTCACGTGACTCGACAATCTCTCATCAGTCATCACGTGAACCGCCATCCAAAACCACCACACCGCCACCGCGTCTTCTGTTTTCTATATATTGCACCTCATCGTTCATGCTCAAAAATCTCAAAACACTTTATCAATGGCTGACAACCATCAACCACCACTCTCCCACCAGGTGGCAAAGGCCACCACCGCCGTCACCCTCGGCGTCTCACTTACGGTCCTCTCGGGCCTTACCATGTCCGCCACCATCATAGGACTTGTTCTGCTAACCCCGTTGCTACTCATATTCAGTCCCGTGTTGATCACGGCCGTTTTCACCTTCTTTCTGATACTCGCCGGATTTCTTACTTCCGGCTTGTTGGGTGTCTCCGCCGTGTTTGTTTTTTACTGGATGTACTGTTATGTAAGTGGAAAACACCCTATTGGTGCCGATCGGCTAGACCGGGCCCGTGAAAGGATCGCCGGAGCAGCCATGAAGATGAAGCAGTTTGGGCATCAGACCGACACCCAGAGGGAAGTTGGTCACTAGAAGTCGTTCTACTTCTAATGGTTGTAGTGCACCCATCACCGGCCACCGCCATCGCCATCGCCATCGCCATGATCACATACTTTTGTGTGTTTTTTCTGCAATGTTAGTATATGTTTACGACTACAAGGACCGGGCCGACCCGATTACAAAAAAACCAGCCCGTCATTTCAGTCTAATATATAAGCTTAACAGTTTCATTTCTAATAATCCCAGGGACCGATCAAGAATTCAAGATCCATACTGTATTTATAGCTTTGTTCTGTTGATTTTTAACATAATCCATCTAATTTGATTATTTATTTATCCATAGGTTTTTGCATTTTAAAGTGATCTTTTATCCAATTGTGCGACCAATTAAACTATGATTTGATTTAGGGGTGACTATGGGATGATCGGGTTGAAGACATTTGAACAATTCAATCCAATGCTTGCGGTTTAAAAAATCTTAATTCAACCCAAACCAAACCAAGTGCAACCCAAGCCAACTTGTACGGGTTGGTCGTGTTGATACTTTGGTATATTAAAATATTTTTTTAACTTTAAATATGTTATTTTTTTATTCATAATTTCTTTTCATCATCAACCATTTGATACAACTTATCCATACTTCTTGTATATACACTACAAGAAAAATGATCTTTAGAGAAGGTATTGTTTTGTACTTAAAAGTCTTAAAAGCTTCTCTAAAGCCTTTAGATAAGCTTCTCAATTTTGTCAAAGACCTTCTCTATGTGACGGTAGGTGAAGGTTTTAGAGAGGGTTTTCGAAGGGTGTGTTTTTGTTAGCCTTTAGAGACGCTTAATTGAGGCTTTAGATACACTTTTAAAACTTCTCTAAAGGTTAGTCAACTTTTTATTCAAAGCTTCTCTAAAAGTATATATATTAGCGACACTTTTCAAGTATTTGCGACGGTTTGTAAGAGTTACTAAAAGATACTTTTAGAGAAGATAATGAAAAAGCTTCTCTAAAGATATTGGCTTTAGTGACACTTTTAAAAAACCTTCTCTAAAAGTCCTCGTTGGTTACACTTACAAAATCTTCTCTAAATATGATCTCTAGATACACAGACTCAAAATCTTCTCTAAAAATTATTTTTAGTTACACTTTTAAAAAATTAATTCCTTCTCTAAAAAATATATTATATATTTATTTCATCCATAATTCAGCTATACATATATATTATAATAAAATTAAACTAACAAATAATATTAAATTAATCAGGAACAAATTAATAATAATCTCAAAACAATTTAATATATATAAGAACCATCCAAATTTAATATTCAATTAGTTCATATATCGTCTAAATTTATCAACAAGAAAACATCCAAAATCATCATAGCATGTTTAACGATCTTGAGTCTCCGAACGTTGGTCTTGAACAGTTAACGAAGATGAAAAACTTGGAACTGACCGGCCGGATACAATTGTCCTCACCATTTGTCGCAACTCAGGGACTTCATCCTTCATAAGAAAGAGCTCTCCATCCTCCTCCCCTTTCGGTTGTCACTTCTCCTCCATCATCGCTCGCACCTCCTCCCTCCGTCATCGCTCACACCTCCTCCTTCCTCAGTCGCTTGTCACACCTCCTCCCTCAACCTAGTAGTTCCTTATTTCAACTGCGCAAATGAAAAGGGAAACAAGAAACACAAGTAAACTGGTATACGGTCTCCAAGTAGAAGAATCATTTTCCAATGCAACATATTCAAGATTTTCATTATAAATCATAACAATAAATTTGATGGTCCGATCTTCCAATTATCAAAATTCATCACCAAAAGCCGCTTGCAAGTACATAACACATGCCTCTAGATCCAAATTTAAGTGCAAGAAAGTCGAGTTACATATAGGCACTATGACTGCTACTACCCTATCCTAGCCATGACAAAAAAAACATCCTGCCTCTAGATCTTCCATTGATATGGATGCTGCTCAATTCTCTCCAACAAATAGGCCCACATGAGGTATAGTAATTTCAGAAAAATCACTGCTTCAAATCATGCCTGCCATTTCTAGACAAATTATTTGTGTACAAAGAGCATAGAACTATTACACGATTTGAAAAGGATTGGTAGGCATGTAGTTCTTCTGCTAGATATGATATTACGTGTATGATGGAGGTTTACAAGCCGGACATGCTGTAAATGGCAACTTAGTGACGACTATGCAAGTAAACATGGATTTAGTTGATGGTTGGCACACTCACTGGCAGTAGCTTCTCTGAATGAAAATATTTCCCAAGATATGAACCAATTCACCTATTATAACACACTACCTTCTCCATATAGCATATGCATAATACCTCTTCCCATGTGTACATTGTGATCTCATCAATAACCAAGGAAAAAGGTGGTAAATATGTGCCTAGTAAGAATAATAGAATATCTTCCTGACTTCATGACACTCACATAGAATCTATATATATATATATATACATATATATATATATGGGAGGGTTCATGTGAGAACCGCAAATAATTTAAGAACCAAGGAATTGATTTTATAGTGTGTATTCATTCATGAATATACACTCTGTACATTTCATTAAACCTGGGTCTGATGCCAAGAAGGTTGCACCCGAAGTAGTGGCAGAGTACACATTCCATGCCCTGCAACGAACCATGCCACCAGCTGTCCCAGCTGTTATGTTCTTGTCAGGTGGTCAGAGTGAGGAGGAGGCTACTGTCAACCTCAATGCCATGAACCAATACAAGGGAAAGAAGCCATGGAGATTTAAAAACTTTATGAGATTTAAAAAGAAATTGATCAAGCAGTTATGTTAAAATAACTTCTTAAATAAAAAAAACGAGAGAGACCGGAAAGAAACAGAGAGGAGATATAAAAGAGATGCTCTTAAACATGGTTACAGGGATACGTTAGAACCGAGGTATATGTAATATGTATATTGGGATTTACAAGATATCCATGAAAGTTTCGAAAACTTATACCCCAATTAAACTGAAGTCGAGGAAATAAAAGGAAAAATCCATCCATCCATCACAAATGGAAACGGCAGGTGTTTGTGATGTCATAATATTTTTTTTAAATATATAATATTTATATATGGCAAATACTCATTTTGTACCTTTTCACCTCTTAGGAAGTTGGGTTGTATCATACCTCTAGGACAGTGACGCTCAGTGTAGATGATGAGATTTATAGCAATAAGCATAGATGCAATGCCGAAACAACAAACAGTTGTCTATCCCAGAACAAACACAAACTTCCAAGTGAATGTTTCGTGCATAACTAGGAGAAATGTTATCTAATTGAAAGTGACGTGATACGACAACATTGTAATGGGTCACTTGAAATAATCATATATATATATATATATATAAAGTAAAAAGTCCATACCTTGGAACTAAAAAAATGGAGGTGAGCATGGCAACAGTGATGGGTGTTGGATTGGTCCTGCTGCTGCTGATTCTAACACTGGCCTTGCTTCATGCATGTGCTTTCCCAAAGGAAATGGATGGCATCCCAGGTAGCTTTGGTTGGCCATTTTTAGGAGAGAGTTTGTCTTTTATATCTGAATTTTCAAGTCCTGCTGGTATTTTCAGTTTCATGAATAAAAGGCAACAAAGGTAATCAATCTCATATCAATTGCAATTAAATTTGTTGCTTGCTTATAGCAATTAATTAACGTAGATACGGAAAAGTGTTTAAGAGCTATGTTCTTGGACGGTATATGGTGTTTACGACCGGTATGGAAGCAAGTAAGATGTTATTAACAGGAAAAGATGGGATGGTTAGCTTGAACCTGTTCTACACCGGTCAGAAGGTGTTGGGCCCCAATAGTTTGCTTCAGCAGAACGGTGAAGACCACAAGCGCCTCAGACGTCTTATTGCTGAACCCCTCTCCATTGACAGCCTCAAATTGTCCTGTTTTTAAAAGTTATTCAGACAATCCAAGTATACCTGATTAAAATCTCTCCAAGGTTTCCAGTAAATTGCCCATCAATGTATTCTTCAGAGTTTGCCAACTAGAAAACAAGGCACCAACCAATATTAGAGACAGAGGTTATGACTGACATGTGGATACTTATTCTTTTTCTTTTTCATGTAAATGTATTTTCCTATATTGTGCCTTGTGCTCTTGGTATTCCATTTCCTTTCCTCTGCTCATCCTCTTCCTTTTTATGTTCATTACCTTAAATCATTCCATATTTATTAGACTTAATGGACAAAATGCAGTAATTTATTAGACTTAATGTCGAATGTGAGATTAGATAATAAGCTAGGGCAGAATGCAGTAATTCATTAGACTCTGCAGATCTCTGTAATACAAAACTTGGTGGACAAAATACAGGTTCAACAAACCAAAAAGCTCTATGGACAAGATCCTAATTATTGCTGCAACTAACAAGCTCTAAACAACCTAAACAAAAAAATATGTAAACAAATAAACGTCTTTGAGGCATTTCCTCAAACACCTTTTAAGCATAGGAGACAAAAAGAGGAAACAGAAGTGAAAAGGAAACAGAAGGAAGAAACAACAACAGAAAAAAGAAACAAAAATAAATTATCTGTTCGATCAGATCCACTAGCTGATCAAGGTGATACATCAATACCACCATTGTTACCTATTCGAGGTCTGTGAAAGAAGAAAGCTAACTCTATCTAATATAGATTTGTTTTGGCGCTTGAGATCAGATACGCAGAAAAGGGATTTGATATTGAAACACAATAATGTTACCAGAAGGAAGAATTTACCTGTAATCAAAACCATAAGAATCAGATGGAGTTCTCCGAGCAACACCGTCCTCCGTAATCGCTGCCAACGCCGGCCTCCAGTGTTTTGTCGAGTTACCTTGTGTCATACCTCACTGATGACTAGGAACCTCGGTGGTGATGGTCTCAACCACCGTTGGAGGTAACTAGATCGATGTAGGAGATGAGAAGAGGATGATGGAGCAACTAGGGCTAACACTTTTTTATATAATTTTGATTTATTCATAAAATATTTTACATACCCTTATCAAATTACACGGAAGCGTTACTAAACTATTTGTCCAATTTTATTTATTTTTAAAAACTTTTTTAACTTTTAGGGACACTTAAGAAACCGTCACTAAAGCTTTTGTTTCTACTTTCAGGGACATTTTTCTAAGAAGTGTCTCTAAAACCTATAGAAACATTTTTAATAGTTTATTCATTGACTCAAAATCCTTCTCTAATAGTCTCCTTAACTTCAGTTACTCCTTTTTACTTTTGTAGTTTCATTCCTTCCCTAAAATGCATCTTTAGGTACATTTTCAAAACTTCTCTAAAAATTTCTTCTCTGAAGCTCATTTTTCTTGTAGTGATATCACGTTCAGTTAGTTTTCTCAATTTATATATATGTTCACAGTTACTGAACACATATACGAATAAGTTATATGGAGATGTGAATAGATTGAAAATATATGTATATGAAGAGCGTACGTGATAGGGTAACTGTCTAATCTATATATTAATAGAAATTTAACAATTATATTAAATCTAAGAAATAAAAGGTCATCGGGTTCATCAGATTGGGTTAGGTTCAAATAATAGCAACCCAATACCTACAGTTTGAAAATTTTACAACTCGATTATATCGGGTTGCTTCGGGTTGAGTTATTTCGTGTTGAGTTATCGGGTTGATAATAAACATTGTATCAAATCATATATTAATATCAACTTATTTGTATAAAATACAATCGACTGGTAGTATCGTATTAATATGCAAACATGGTTGGTATTATATTATGGTTATTGAAAGTTGTATACTATAGTAGTATCATGATACTGATTTATTTAGTTATTTTTTAATTTTTTATGTATTGAATATTTAACTTTGTAACTTTAATTATTTTGTTTAAACGTTTATCTTTGTAATTAAAAACCTTTAAACATCATAGGTATTACTTGGACTTAAAATGTTACACAAAATTTGTAAGAGTATAATAAGTTTTCATATATGTAACTTGAAGTTGTTATAAAATCAATATCAATATGTACCAACCAAAAAAATTGGTACCAATTAAATTGACACCAACATATAAGTTTTTAACTTCTTCTGATAAATAAATTAATGAATTTTTTTTTAAATAATTAAGTTTTTTTTTTTGAATAAATAACTTTTAGAAATTGATTAGCTGTATCAGTTTAATCTAAAAAAATTATATGTGGCCGGCTAGAAATGTTATAAAGTAAAAGAAAAAACTAAAATCAGTTTTATCGTTTCCAACTATAAGTCATTCAGACATTTCGCTTCTCCATGTTGCCCATTGGCGTCCACTCTCCGTCATCGCAAGTCATCGTCATTGGCCTTTGCTATTGATCACCCTTTTGTGATCTAATTTATCTCGATTCTCTTTTTTCTATATCTATGCATGCTCTAAAATGCTAGAAAAACTGGAGAATTGGAAGACAAAAGAAAGCAGATAAAAAAGAGGAGAGGGATGGAAGGGAGTTGGACGGGGGAGATGGGCGGTGATAGAGAGCAGACGACAATCAAGCGAAGACGGGTAGTGATGTCGTTAGGCGCGAGGAGTTTGAATGACGTGGGATTTGGTAAAGATACTGATTTATTTATTTTTATCTAAAATCTTCCTAGGTAAAGATACTGATTTATTTATTTTATTTAAAATCTTCCTAGTTGATTATACGTAACTTTTTTTGGGTTAAAATGATGTAAGTTACCAATTTCAAATGGTTAATTGGTTTATTTATTCAAAACAAAATTTCAAGCACTTACTCATCAAATGGCAAAGTTCAAAAAGGCGTAGCGTGGCGTGATCAAGTCTGAAGTCTTACACGTTATGGCGAGGACTCGACGTTTTTAAAGGTGTGATATAAGGCGGCAAATTTATATGTCATATATAGAAAACATATATCTGAATTATATATATATATATATATATATATATATGTTTTCTATATATGATCTAATCAGATAATAATATTAAACATACATGCATATTAGAAGAAAAATCACATAAATTATTATTATAAAAATAGGTTTTTGGTTAAATATTTAAAGTAAAACTTAAAAAGTTAATTTTTCAATTTCATTTGAACCGTAAGTCTATAACATTCTATGAACTTGTGAAACTATAAGTGATATGATTAGTTAAATGTATAAAAGTGTAAAATCAAAAGTTAAAAGTGTAAAAACACAAAAGATAAAAAAAATATTTGTTTTTGGAAAGATATCATGTATTACAAAAAAAATGCGTGCCAAAGCGCGCCTCATGACGCCATGGCGTGAGCCACGCCTTTTAGAAACGCTCTGGATTATTTTGTAACGACGGAGACGCGTCTTGCGCCTCTCCATGGCACGCTATTTGAACATAGTTTAATGGTCAAAGTTCAATTGTTTATTTATTTAAAAGTTTCAAATACTTTATACTAATTAAAATGAAAAAGCTTATTAAATTTTTCTTTCACTATTTCATGATTTACAATTTTTTGTTATTTTTTATTTAAAGTTTTTATTTTTTAACATTATTGAAATTTATAGTATTACAGTGAAGATTATTAATTGAATGGTGATGATCGGATGGGAAACCTAGTTTTATTGGATTCTAAATTACTATCTAAGAAATAATTGATTTAATTCAGGTGTGGAAATTTAGGATCCAATCCAATTCAATTACAATCGAACAATCGATTTGATTGTTTGATACTGGTTGGATCAAATTAATTTCTACCAACTTGTTTTAATTAAAAAATTTAGGTTACCCGATCCATCTCAAATCCACCTGGAAGTCTTCAAGCCTTACTACGTGTAACACTCGGATTTTAGTACGTATAATAAACCCTTAGTGGATCGAGCAAAATGAAGCATTTAAGCTTATGGAGTGAGATGCAACTCTTGTGTTATGACCCTAGGGTCGCAATGCCAAAGTCGCATATGGTATGTCATAAGTAGCAAAATTCTCGAGGTTGAGGCGACCCTTGCACCGCGAGGCTAGGGTCGCGAGGCGGCTTTAGGATGCGGGAGAACCTTGTGCTGCGAGCCTATGGTCACAAGTCAGGGTTGCGGGTTGCTATTTGGGCATTTAAGGCGGATTTCAGCTAGGGTTTTCCCATATCCCCCATTCTCTACATTTCTCCTTCATTCCTCTCTTCATTTGGGCAATTCTACCAGCTTTGGGGACAAATGTTGGAGGTCTTTGGAGCAATGGAAGGTATATCTGTGGGTGTGAAGATCTATGAAGGTTGGTTTCGAGATCTTGAAGAGGTAAGATTTTTGGTATTTTGAGATCTAACTAGGGTTTTGTTATGGACCTAAGTTTGGGATTGCTTTTGGTGAACTTCTAGGTTGGTTATGACCTGGATAAAGCTTCTAGAGATGGATGCTAGTGGATCTTTAGCCTTCACTGTTCTGGAAACTAGAAATGGCTTTGGAACCTAGGTTTACATAACCGAGCAAGGTGGGTTCAAGTTATTTTGTGAAGACTTTGTACATGCCAAAAATGTTCATTTTGAAGCATTAATGTGTTTTACTTGATATTTATTAAGTGTGTGGATCATGTGGTGAGTTTTGCATATTTGGTATATTTGATTATACAAATCTTTTAAGATACTCATATCTGGGGTTTTCCAACAGTCTCAAGATTAACACTTTGGTAAATAAATCTTGAGAGTGTGTCATATGATGACTTATTTCTTAAATGAAGGTTGTTTGACATTCTCGGGTTTTATAAACCATTTGGAATATACACATTATTGTGTTATAAAGTATTTTGGAGATATAAATAGTATGATTTCATTTGGAAATTGTCAACTAATGGATTCGGGCCCATAACCATGGGTTCCAATGCACGAGATCTTGTAGCACTTACCAATGAGGTAATGATGAGTTTTTAAGTTAATCATATTTTTGAAGCATGTGTTTGCATAAACGTTGGTTAAATACATTATGTCGCTTATGATGACCTTCAATTTAATACTCAATTGAGTTGTTAAGTTTTTGGCTTGGTTTTGACTCAAATGAGTCTTGGGGACACATTTCTGGTTTAATTTGCTTTATGTCGAGCTTTGGAGTAATATGTAATTATGACATATTTATTTGAAATGTTGCATGTTTAGTATACGTGGTCATTCATTTGGAGTCATGTAATTTAGACTGTAACACAATAGATCCATAGGCATAGGAGTCAGTTTGAGTGGGATAAACATTCCCGTAATGTAAATGAAATAGGCATTGGGTCTTTATAGACAATAAGGTGTGGGCTCGTTGAGTCGAGCATCAGCCATTGACCAACAAAATATAATTTCTTGTGAACGAGCTTAACTAGGAGTTTTGGAGATCCCAAGGTATAGACCTACTATGGGTGAACTTAGTAACTATACAAGCAATAGACATAGAGTTGTTGAGCTTGTTACATTAAACTATAGACTTGGAGATATTGATTTTAATGAATGTATAATCCGTAAGTGACCCTATATAACATAGATATATGACCTACTTTTCTGTTTAGTCACATTCAATGGAATCGGGTTTTCCCCGTCACTAAAAGGTAAGTTTTGGGAAATGATATTTTATCCATATTTTCATGTTATCTTGGGTATGAAGAGTATCAATGATTTCACGTTTCAGACGTTGTTTATTGTTTATATTTGGTTGTTTCGGGATACTTGAATTTCGTTCATGATTTTTGGTATTTGAACATCAAGCCTTCTTTTGGCTTTGTGAGTATTGGGTTTTAGTTTCATATAAATGTGTGTTTTGATTTATGGGTTTTCATCGAGAAAACGGTGGGGATTGAAAAGATGTTGCCTTTACGATAATGATATTTCATTTGCAAATTACGATTTAAAAGCATTCTTTCAGTTTTACAGTTTTATGATTATGATGAAAACTTCTTTAACTCACTACGCGTGAAGCCTAACCTTTTTTATTTGTCGATACGTGCA